ATTGTGGCAATCTAATATTTATTAAGACACCGTGTGACTTATGCCCCGCGATGCCTTGACTTTAGCCCGGGATTCAGAATCCAAATCAGCTGGATGCAATTGTCGTCCCTATCTGATGACTCAAAATGGGTCACCAGATAGTGCAAAGATATGTCGTCTGACTTTGTTTACCTTTCGAGCAGCTCGTACGTTGTAAAGTGCCATGCGACAGATAGCCAGCAGAGGTCTTTAAATTATTTTATTACAGGGTTTTGTTCGTGACTCACCAAGCTACTTTAATCAATTACATGAAAATTAGAGTGAGTAATGAAACCGAAATGGCTCAAATGATAAGATGTACTATATGGAAAGGAAGTCTTATGCAAGAGTATTTTTTGGTCTTTAAAGGAAGGTTGTATTTCCTAATCTGTATACTGAATTGCCAAAGAAAAGAGCCTTTCTAGGTAAAAATGCATAGACTGATATGGAAAATTAAACCTCTTAGTTGATAAAACAAACTAATTACGCCGCATTTTTAAAATAACTTATACTACATAGTTGATAAGAAAATAAGTACTTTAAAATACATTTAAGGTTTACAAAAGAATTTAACGGATCAGTTTCAAACTGAGTCTTCACACTAGTTGGGAAATTGCATATAAAATAACTTATCGAAGTAAGAATTTCCCATTCGATTTATGGAGCGGGGCAAACCCCCTTATCTGATAAAAAGCACCTACCCAGGCAGGAATTTCTAGCCTGATTTTTGTGAGAGGGGAAAGCCAGAGACTTCACCTTCGAATCGGGGCTTTCCACTCCAATAACTTTGGCCAATGGCTCTCGGCCCGAAGTCAATTCCATGGCGATCCGCCCAGAAGGCAGTTCACAATTAGCAGTAACCTCAATGGCTCGACATGTCTCCTCCACTCGTGTCACTCGTGGCAACCTTGTGCTTGTGGCTATGGACATGGGGTGTACTGTATATGTATCTATATATCTAAATGGATACCGCTTATTGGATAAGTAGATATATGCCGATCAGCGATCGACGGAATTTAGCATTTTGTGCGATCGGCGCTCGTAAGCGACACATAAACCATAATTAAAAGCGAAAAACAGTTGGCCCCAAATCGAAGGCACCGAAAAAACCAGTAAGCAAAACCAAAAATGCGCGCGCGTTTGCGCACTGCGCACCTGTTTTTCGTTTTTTTTTTTTAGTTTTTCGTACCCCCCAATGGAATCTATATATACCCCTCGGATCCAGCAGCACCCTCGCCGCCAGTTGAAGTTGGCCAGTTTCATGAAACAATTACGAATACGAGTGCAAAACAAAAACCGATCCAATCCGATCCGATCCGAAACAAGCTGAGGCGAACGGCAAGTTGGCCAAGCTGTTGGCCAAGTTAAGACGACTTGGGCTACTTGGGGCGACTTGAGGGGTCCACCACCGCCACTCGGCTTATTGCAACGATCGCCGCCTAGCCAAAATGCACAGTGGTATTTAGGAATTTGTAGATCCATATACTACTTAAGAAATACATATAAAAATTCTGTATAATATCGGAAACTATCGTATATACATAAATCAAAACCAAATGTGTACGATTGTTAAATTTATAAATGTCTACCATAGATATAGCAATTATAATTCGTTGTAATTTGCGCTTAATGGCTTGTAAATTAGTCGTGATTTTTTAGTTGGCTGCTTTGCCTGAACACAAATCTATTATCTTTCAAGGTGAGCACTTTGCCATGCATTTTTCTTGAAATGCCTTATAGGCATGGCTATCTGCATGTGGTTAAATAATGCCATTGTTGGGCTTTGCGGCCCACAGTGATCGGCAACTGGCCCGGTTTGCCTACGAATGGAGTAGCCTCTCCTTGTCGCCCCACTGACTATCCCCCTTTTCCAACGCCGCCCCCTTTTCATCCTTTTCATTCAACGCTGCACAGAGATAAAAAGAGTTAAATATAAAAAAAGGAAGAACGCTATAGTCGAGTACCTCGACTATCAGATACCCGTTACTCAGCTAAATAAGATATGCAAGCAGCAAAGCGAGATTAAAATGCCCACCTACCGCGGTATACAGATTTAAGCGTTATGGCGTTAGTGGGCGTGGTAAATTTTTTTTTAACCAATCGATAGTATTGACGAGATCAATACATTTCAGTTAAATTTTTATATCTAGCATGAAATTGTGGCGTCACAGGTTTTCGCGTTTGTGGCGTTAAAGTGGGCGTGGCAAACTTTTTTTTGGGTCAATCGATAGGTATTGATGAGAACAATACATTTGAGTTAAAATTTTATTCTAGCATCAAAATTGTAGGAGCCACAGTTTGGGCGGTTGTGGGCGTTAGAGTGGCGTGGCAAACTTTTTTTGAGTCAATCGATAGGTATTGATGAGAACAATACATTTCAGTTAAAATTTTATTCTAGCATCAAAACTGTAGGAGCCACAGTTTTGGCGGTTTGTGGCGTTAGAGTGGGCGTGGCACTGTGCTGAAACAAACTGCGCTGCGTAAGAAGCTCAGGAATCTGCACGCCAAATCTCAATAGCCTAGCTCCATAGTTTCCGAGATCTCAGCGTTCATCCGGACGGACAGACAGACGGACAGACGGACAGACGGACAGACGGACAGACGGACAGACGGACATGGCTAGATCGACTCGGCTAGTGATCCTGATCAAGAATATATATACTTATGGGTCGAAACGCTTCCTTCTGCTGTTACATACTTTCCGACGAATCTAGTATACCTTTTACTCTACGAGTAACGGTATAATAATATCATGTTAATAATATTATGTTAAGATGATTACTATTTTACTTGATCTCATGGGTCATTGTAATATTCTTGGTTAAGTTAGTTTAGAATTCCAAAATATATTGAGATTAGTATATATTTGGGGTGTTTTTATTTTAATAAGCACCTCTTCTCTATTAATTGAAATATACAATTGAATTTATCCCAAAAATGTATTTATAATTAAATACATTTCATAATCAGGTTTTAAATGATGATAAATCATTATTACAGTATATCTTTATGTGTGATAAGCGCTTTGATTTCTTTTTTATATATAGAAATTTAAATATAAAATGGCATTATTTTAAAATATTCATTTGAGATTTTATAAGTTTCGGATCAGGTTTTTTAAACGATGATTAACTTTTCTTTCTGTGTGCTGATCGCTTCGATTTCTGCTCGATCGCTCGCCTTTTTAGCTTTGGCGTAAAATTGCAGAGCGATCTTATAGTTGTTTTTGTTGTTGCCTTTGCTTTTCTGCCATTAAGGCAACAACGGCTAAAACACAGATACACACACTCACACAAAAACAAAGACAAACACAAACACAAACAAACATCGGGCAAGAAACCTGTAGAATTTACAATTACAACGTATCTGCGTCAATGCTTTTTTAACGTTTTTTCATACTTTGTTCGCTTACTGGGCGCATTTGCAATTGAAGCGTGGCTCACACAGATACAAAAACGCACACATGCAGCCGGCTAACCCACTTGATATCGCCATCCCTTTCCCACCGAGCTGTTTGAAGTCTGAACGTGTTTTTTATATAACTTTTTTATGCGCATAGTTTTGTTGTTCATAAAACTTGTTGTTGTCGCTTGTTTTGTTTTTTTTTTATTATTTTCTGCATATATTTTTTGGTGGGAATATTTGGCATTTTGTTTTGAGGAATTTTGTTTTTTTCTTGTCTAGCGATAAGTAGATGCAAGATACGAATGAATAAATGCATTGGCTGTGAGTCATATGGGATTGGAATTGGTTTTGGTTTTGGCTATTTGGTATTGGGAAATTTCAACAGGTAAGTGAGGTTTCCAAAAATATAATGGCTGAAACAATTTCAGTTTCTCATATTCGCACACGCCATGCAATTTATTTGATAGATAAATCATTTTCGAATCTGTTATCTCATTCCATTTAGTGTCAAATGTGAGCTCTCTCGACTCAAACCCCACTCAATCCCAATACCAAACCCAATCCCACTCAACGACTACGATCCACTCAACTCTCATGACTTCATTTGGTCTTGTGCAATTTACTGATTATCTCATAATCATCTGCTCGTGTGCTTCAATTTGTTTCCAACGCGACTTTTTCTCCGCGGCTTAATGATGCCTGCAAATTAACCATGGATTACATAAATAAAATAAAATTAAATAAAACGAGAAAACAAAAGGCAGGCAACAAATTTGATTTGATTAAGTTACGGTTGCATTTCAAATTTGGCATTTACAACATTTTTCTCGTCGTGTGTGTGTGTGTGATTGTTGTGTTTTCGTGCTGATTTATTCCGATTTTGGCCCAGCCGCGTTTTCAGTGAAAGTTGAGCGAGTTCAAAACAACAGCAAAGGTTGTGTCAATGAACTAAGGCGGTCGAATTCCCGAATTTGGGTTGGCATTGGCTAATGGCCAAGGTATTGGGCTAATCTTTTGTTAACACCCAATTGGCTTATCGATACAAGGCCCCTCACGTGCCTCTTCTATCAAAGTGCTCCAAATATAGTCAATGACCGGCTAAATGGGTCTATTAGATGTTACAGATTACGTTGCCTAACACGATTTGGTTTTTAAAAAAATTGGTGGCTAAACTGGAATATCATATTGCCTATCACGATTGGTATTTTTCACAGAAAAGCGCACTTTTAAATACTGTTGATAAAGTTTGATATCCATTTTACAATTCTTCAACAAACATGACTTTGTAATAGAATCAATATGTTTAACACAGTTTAACATTTGAAACATATTTTATAATGTTATAATATCTCTGATAAACATGATCCTAAAGTAGTTTTAATTTAGTAGTCCTAATGTTGATATTGTTACCTCTTGGTAGAAACTGTTAGATAGATCGTATTACGTACATAGAATTTATGAAATTTCTTCGGTAATTTGAAGCCAAGGTGCTATACACTATTACAGAATATTCGTATTTGGAAAGTTCGAGTTATAAAGGCCAAATAGGGCTAAATGGGGTTTATTTTATGGCTCACCTGGTGATGATCGTTGCAGCAACAGGTAGTTGTTTCTGGTAAGGCGGACTGGCGATAAGGAAAAAGGCCACGCGAAGAGTTTCGGCAATGGCAATATCGAAATACCAACGGCAATTACTCGTTCACTTTCGATTTGATCGGCCGATAAGGCTTTTACGGGGGAAAACTCGGTGTTAGCACGGGTAAACAAAGAACAAACACACTTTATTTTTCTGTTTGCATTTCAAAACAAAGCCCAAAAATCTGTGGATCTTTTATTTCGGTTTTTTTTTCCTTTCTTTTTTTTTCGTTGTATTTTTTACGTTTTATATGTGTTTGTCCCGCTTGCTCTTTTGGGGCGCCTTTCTTTCTCACTCTTGTCCGCTTTAACCGGTTTTTTGGTTTATGTTTATGCTGCTGTTGCTGTTGTTGTTTCCCTTGCTCACGGCTTGAATTTGGGATGAAAATATGCTGCAATTGCAACTAGCAAATTGTCGAATGTCCCCAGCCACTTGTTTGTTAATTCGTACAAAAACGAAGACCTTAAAACACCCGCGAGAGAGGTAAACAACGTGAAAAACTAAATAAAAACCACACGCGCAGGCGCAGAACGCAAAAAGAACGCAGGAATGTGTTGGCGAACAGGTGTCAAAGATTTTCGGCCTCTTCTCCACAATCCAATGTTTACTTTGTTATTTTGTGTGTTGTAAGTATCTCCCCTGCTTTTCACGCAGCGACTTGAGTTTTCTTTGGCTTGGCGAGCGCTTTCCGCGCGGCGATTCGTTTAATTCGAGCGTGTTGTTTGCGATTGAACACCTGTTGCGCGTTCGATTTTCATAAAACTAACTGTGTGACCGTCGGTGGGCAGGTGAAATATACCAGGAAAAATGCCACAGCACTGGTCTGGCAGCACTGGCGGGAAAACACTATCGGAGATTTAACAACACTGGCTGGCGTTTTATTGGGGTATTCCAGTATAGAAATTAAAGAAATAAAAATTAATTTAACTTAAACCACTGTTTTACAACATTTTCAAACTATTTTATTATACATTAAAAAACTAACTTTTATATAATTAAATTCCATTGTAAATTAGTTTGTTGGGTGGTTATTCTCCCATAGCTATAATTTACAACACTATTGAAAGTATCGATACAACTATCGATAGACACGGCATATTGACAATCGCGTCCGCGCTATCGCTAACAGCAATAGCAACAATCTGTGACGACATAGCTATTTTTGTTTTGAGTTTCACCACATTACGCTGCTCTGTACGTGATTGAATTTAAAAAAGATGTCCGACACCGCTTTACTGGACTCGTTGAGCAACAAGGAGCTGCTGGCCAAGTGCCTGCAGCTCGGCCTGCCGGGCGTCCCGTGACGGACAGCACCCGTAGTGTGATCATTCGCCGGCTCAAGGCTACAATCTCTGGGACTCCGCTGAACAAAAGCAAAACTGCAAGTAAGAAAGCAACCCCCAGACGTGAGACCGTGCACGGCAGCCAGGTTTCGACGCCCACGTCAGAGCCAGTGCGTCGTTCGGCCGGAAGAAGTGCTGCCCGCAGCAACGGCAGCAAGATCAGCGAGCAGGGTCGTCGCACCATCGCCTACGGGCTGGACAACACCTCGGTCTCTGGGAGGTCGGTACAGACCACGACCACTGTCTCAGATGTGGGTTCCCAGTCGGAGGACGATGACTTCTACGTGGTGGATTCACCTGGAGGCAGATACCAACAGGACCAAAAGAACAGGCGCTCTGTGTCGCTGACCAAATCCGGAGTTCTGACCACTTCGTACACCCGGAGGTGGACCAGCCGCTGTACGAACAGAGGACATACCAAGCAGCTACACCTACGAGAGACCACAAGTGGCAGCCGCCCACTTCACACACTGCCTACCTATGAGCCACGCATCGAACCCTCGACCTACAGACGCACAGATTTGGGTTTCTCGCGACCCCTGCTGACCCAATCCAATCTTAACTCTACCAGCTACCAGGAGGCATCGGGATTCAACCCATCCCTCTCGCCCGTTTCGCCAAGAAACACTTTCAGCGGCTCCGCCAGGCCTTTTGGCGGTCCAGCACCAGCTCCGGTACGCCAGCGTTCGAGTGTGGCGGCCGGTGGAAACAACTTAGCCCGTGGTCGCCTGCTCCAGCCTACCACCGCGGTGAACACCCTCTATCCGCAACTGAATCAGTTTACGATCAGCCAGACAGTGTAGGCGAACCCATGGAAACCGAGAGCGAGTCCGAGGCGGAGGCAGCCCCGATACGGAGCAGTCATTTCGCAACCAGACGCTCCTCGCCGCTGGCCAGGCCTCAGGGCAGGAAACCTCTGGTAAGACAACACGACCAGGTGTCACCCATGTCGCAGTTCTGTGCCTTGCTCGTATCGCTGGATCAGAAATATAATCTCAAGTTCTACTTCATACTGGTAGTGACAGTGATGCTGGCCACCATGATCTATGTGGCCATGACGCCCAACTCTTAGGAAGGCTTAATAACATGTTACTGCGATTGCCTTTCAAATTTGGTTTCGGTTAATACACGCATTTGGACCCCTGGACTTCAGTGGAGGACTCTCCATCAAGACTTTGCACCTTAAGACTATTTTAAATTCCCAGACAAGTTCAGAAGTACACAATATTCAGTTCAAATTGCCAAGTCTTTAATTGCTTGTTTTCGCATATGGTTTCTTTTTATACATAATTAGAAAAATGTACTACATTATAATTATTGTATTGTATTAAATAAACTAATTAAATGTAAGTGCTCAGTGTTTTGTTGCGATTTGTGTGTGTGGTACTCTCTGACAACGGATCAGGGGATTTCTATGCTTTATGCTACTATTTACACGCCATTTAAATGAACAAAACAAACAGTGTAAAATCGTCGAAGGATATCGGGGGGATCGCGGCTAGGACATCACAAAGCAAATGGCTGCTGGCGGCGATGGCTGACTAATTGAAGTGGAACTTGAACTGGAACGGCGACCCGTGCTGGAAGTGGCCGAACGGATGTTCGCCGTGGAAGCCGCCGCCGCCGCGCTGAGCGGCCTCAGGATCCAGGGGATCCTCGCCGTTGTCAAACTGCCGGCGTTTCTCGGGATCGGTTAGAACCTCCTTGGCGGCGGCGATGTCGATGAACTTCTTCTCGGCCACCTTCTTCTCCTCGTCCCGGAAGTTGTCCGGATGCCACTTTTGCGCCGCCTTCCTGTACGCCTTGACGATCTCCTGTTTGGTGGCGCTGCGCTTAACGCCTAATATCTTATAGTATCCCTGCGCTCTGACTGCTTCTGCAGCTTCTTGGCCCGCTGGATGCCCTCTTTCGCGCGGGTGTTGCTCTCCTCCAGGTCGAGGGCCGCTTGGTAGGAGTGTATGGCATCGTCGAACATCTCGGTGCCCAGCAGCGCCTCAGCCCGATCACAGTAAACCTGGGCGTCCTTCATAATATCCAGGGCCTCCTTGCACTGCTGCAAGGCTTTGCCAAACTGTTCGTCGCCCGTGTAGCAATTGCAGAGCACCTTGTGACCCTCGTACCGGATCATCGTCTCCACCGGTTCGTGCCGCAGCACCGCCTCTCCGGCGGATATGCAATCGGCAAACTGTTTCCCCTCGCGGCCTGCTCTGCGTTCACCAGCTGCTTTCCACCTTGCGGAGTTTCTTGTAGAAGGGGAAGCAGAGCTTGTGCTCCGGATCGAACTTCAGGCACTCGCGAATCTCCTTCAGGGCATTGGTGGCATGGCCAATTGTGTACAGCAGCTGGGCAATGTTGTAGTGACCCTCAGTACTGTCCTGTGTGAGCCGGTTTACCTGTCGAAGGTCTGCAATGGCGGACAATGGATCGTTACGGCAATGTAGGCATCTGAGCGAGCCTGTCGGAAGGGCACCGCCCACGGCGAGATCTCCAGCAACTGTGTGATCATGCCAATGGCGTTTTGGTGGTCGCTATGCAGAATCAGCTGCTTCACGAGAGACCATTGCTCCTGGGCGGGGGCCAGGCGGGAGTAGTGCTCCAGCACCAGACCGTTGTTGGGCTCCTCCTGGAGCACTTGCTCGAAGTCCACGATCGCTTGTTCATACTCTCCGCTCTTCATGTGCACCACACCCCGCTGGATGCGGGCGGCCGTGAAGTCTGGCTTCAACTCCAGGACCCTGCTGAAGTCCTGAACGGCGAAGCGGGTCTTGCCCAGCGCCAAGTAGACGGTACCACGCTTGAAAAGCGTCAGGTAGTTGTTGGCATCACCCTCTGTAGAGGAGATATATGTTAAATCAAAGGTAAGAGAAGAGAAAGGTTGGGAATATCCTTGGAGTATCCTTGAAGTTATAACAATCTAGTCAAGTGTTGACAGAAATTAAAAGGTCTTTCTGCACTCTATAAACCACATTAATAATAATATTTGATTAAAGTTTGTTCATCTATTTCGATTTTTATATGGTTATAACTATCTTGTTACCTTGATATTGGCTTTAAAAGGTAAACCGATAATAAAAAAATAAAATCTTTGATTTCTTGGGGAAAAGAAGTTAAATATGCAGAGAATATTAAAACTAAAAGGTTATAACGCTAGCTATGGCAACTTTTGATGACTGCTTTGGGTAACACTTATAAATTCAGCCAAAATAACACAGCTGCTATGGTAATTGATTGACCTTTATAGCAGCAGAATTTTAACCTAGAACTTGAGCTCTCAAGGCTATACCAAGTCTTTCCAAGTTTATTGGTCATTTATAATTACCAACAGCCGCATGGTAGTGCGTCAGTGCATCCGACAGCTGACCGCGGGCCAGGAATTCCTTGCCCAGCTCCAGATGGTTCTCAATGTCCGCCGGACTGGCCGACGACTCGGCGCCTGTGCGAAAAGCAATGACGTGTTGTTAGCCAGTCTTCAGAGATAAGGGACTACAGCTGTGTGCACCTACCTTCCAAGAAGAGCTCCATGAGGAGGATCAGCAGGCAGGCGGCCAGTTTCTTCTCGCCGCCGCCGAACATGAGTAGGTCGCTCAATGGCAAGGCCATGTTTATGGGCTACGTGTACTTGGATGGCCGCACAAGACCCGAATGTGGGCGTGATTTGGAGTCGAATCTCTATCGACACGCACGTCAGATCTGCTTGGCGTGGCAGCTGCTAATCTCTACGGGAGCACCCCGCCCCCTCTTCCGGCTTGGCTATTATGGATTTGACTCCGTTTTTGGTCAACTTGCAGCGCCGTCTGCGTTTTTTATTCGGCCTTTTCTGAATTGGTCAGTTGGGTTTGGTAAGTTTTCTGACTGATAAGGATCTTGCTGGTAGTCCTTGTGGACGTCGCCGCCACTGCTAACTTGGATTCGCGCCGCTGGGCACTGAACTTTTCGCTTATAAATATTATAAACTAAAAACTGACGTGTTCCTAGAGATGGGCAACTGTTGGCCGCAGGTGAAACTGGTCACCGATACCAGATGCAGTCACGAGTCTCAGCTATCGCATGTGGGCGGTCACTTCGCCGGCAATTTCTAGCTATTTTCTAGCTAGAACTGTTCCACCTTTTAAATAAATACGTTATATATTCAAAACGGGATTCAAAATATAACAAAGTATTGAAAATCCAAATAAAATTGGGACTAACGACACTTTAAGCTTTGGTCAAATGAATGTTTATTTGGAACATGAATTTGGTAAATATATCTGCTACTAAATTTATTAAAATCCATAGTATATTGATATTTTAAATATTCTTATACGTTTTCGGTAATTATTGTAAATACTTCTCGGTTTCATCTGGAAATAAATGCATTTCTTGAGCATTACAAGTTTGCCGTGAAGCTTAAATTGCTCGTATAACACCTTTTTTGTTCTCATTGCTTATTGCTTATCGCTAAATGGTCAAGTGGATATATGTTTGCTTGGAGTGTTAGATTGTTAGAGGCGTTCTGTGAGATTTATATGAATCAGAGATAGAAAGAGATATGGGGTTCGATAAGAAATGGCCAGAGATATATGGGATATAGAGTAAAATTCGCCTACGGAGTATTCTAAGTAAAGCTCTAAGCACTTTCGCTGTGTGCATATGGTCTAGTAATTGGATGGAGGGTATGGTCTATGTAGGCTTGAGATCAGTGAGCTACGCTTACGCTCCCAATACGGTTTCCGTGCTTGTGCTTGGCTATAACAGAAATCTTTGCTGTTCCACTTGGTTAGGAAATCACAATGTTGATCAGATCATCCAGAGGGTGGTCCGCAGAGTGCGGCTGAGAGGCGGCGTGTGTCTTTTGCATGTGAGCTGGAAGTGATTTTGATCTTAATAGAAGTGGCTTTCGAATCGTTATGAATAAATACTTTTGAGCTTAATGTGCGTGACGAATCTCTCTTGACAGAGATCGCATTTATAGTAGGTTTTGCCAGTATGAACCCGCTGATGCAGCCGCAATGACTTCTCAAACAGATAGGCTCGACCGCAAACGTTGCACTTGAAGTTTTTTTCCAAGACTGAAAAAGATGGGAGATTATTATGAGATATTTCAAAATCTGCATTAGTATTATAAAAATAATTAGGTACGCAAAAATTTTAAAAAAAGTGTTAGTACTCCAAATTTTAGGTTAGTTTTTGAAAATTGGGAGACAAGTTTTGACGTGATGATATTATCAGCTTACCCTCATGACTCAACCGGTGCTGAGTAAGCACATACTTGAGTGCAAAGGCCTTTCCACAGACATCGCACACATTGGGCTTCTCCTTTTCATGGGTCTTGATGTGCCACTTCATGTCCTGGGCGCGCTTAAACCTCTTGGAGCAGTGTGGACAGGCATGGGGTCGATCTTTTTCCGAATGCACGGCAGCGTGCCGCTCCAGCGCCGACTTCATGTTGAATCGCTGCGTGCAGCTGCCACACTGAAAGAGTCCGGAGTACTGTCGTTCCCGCTTCTGCTGCAGCACCCGCTTGTTGTTGGCTATCACCGGAGCACCGGGACGTTGCAGATGCTCCACGGACATGTGCTGGATCAGATCCTGTTCGCTGGTAAAGGGCTGGCGGCACAACATGCACTCGCTCCGCTCGATGGCAGTTAGATTCTCCCTGTGCCGCTCCAGCATGTGGATTCGCTTCTCCGCGTAGGATGCGAAAACTATGGAATCGAGGAGATATAGGTTTAATAGTGATCGGTAAAGGGTTAAAGGGTGGCTAGTCGTAGGGTGTCATGAAGTAGTAACATATGTATGCACTCGGAAAAAGTATCGTCCTGAAATTGGAACCATAACTTCTTCTTAAAAAGAGTGTTTTTTAATTTTAAATAATAATCAATCAATTTTTTCTTGCTTCCCAATTTCAGGACAATTCTTAAAGTAATTGCTGGCATGCTGCTCTCCAGGATTTCGAACGGTGGATGGAGTTGGTTATGCATTGGTTGGTTGGTTTGATGGTTTGATGGGTTAAAACGCTAATCAAGTGGCTAAGTGGAAATCAAAGTACAAAACATTTGACGTTTGTTAATCGCATGCGATGGCTAAGAAGGTGTACAAAAAGAGCTGGGTTAGCCATTATGTTTACCGTTGCTTCAGGCTTGACTAACACACACTATATGAGGCGGCATGGCTCAGTTTCTATGGTCTTAAAGCGCTTGTTGGATGTGAGAATGTTGATATATGATGCGACAGATTGATATATGGTTAATGCTCATGTTCGTGAATAGTTTAATAGTCGTGGGATCTTCCCAAATCCTTGATATACAAGGTGCGGAAGATCCTGTGTAGGTGTCCCCGAGCCGGAGGATCCTCCAGCAGTCCCATCTTCACTTACCCTCCGTGCAGTTGGCACACTTGTAGGGCTTCTCTCCGCCGTGCTGTCTATAAATGTGCCAGCGAAGGGTCTTCAGGTGTATAAAAGCTGGTGGGATAGAATAATGGGTGATCTATATTTAGCTAATGCTAATATTATATGGTACTAAAGATAACCATAATAATAGATATATATACTATGCTTTGAACACATCAAATTGATAACATATTGTCCTTATCAAACTGATATTTGATATTTTAAATGATATCAAATGACATTTTGATCTTATCAATGATTTATTATTAATTGTTTTTATCAATTGTTTTTTTAATGTCAATTTGATATTATTCGAACATATCAGTTTGATATAATCGATATTATCATTTTAATCTTATTATGTATCAATTTCTGTCATGTCATATATTTCTAATAAGGAACTTGGAATTAACATATCTATTTTTTCAAAGGAATCCTTAATTTTCTCAGGTGATATTTAGGTTATTCTTACTCTTTCCGCAAAAGCCGCAGTGCTCGCTCTTCCTGGCGCTGGTGCCCGAGTGGGTGGCCTCGTGGCACATGAGGTGTCGCTGGCTGATGAAGAGCCGCTCGCAGCCGCCGTGGCGACACTTGAATTGGCGGTCCGGATTGTGCCACTTCATGTGGTAGTTGAGGCTCTTGCGGGTGTAGAATCGCTTCTCGCACAGCGCGCACTCGAAGTCCGTCTCCGAGTGGTACTTCTCCACGTGGTGGCGTAGATTGTGCCGATCGCCGTACTTCTTGTCGCACACCCCGCAGGCATGTTGCTTCTCCACGTGGCTGCTCTTCAGGTGCACGGTCCTCGAAGCGGCATCCTGGAAGCGGGCCTCGCACTCCGGACAATTGTACGGCTGCTCCGGATCGTGGCTGGTGTTGATGTGCTCCAGCAGAAGCTGCTGCAGCTGATAGCTCTCCTGCGGCAACAGGCAGAACTTGCAGGTGTATCTAATGGTCAGTTCCGGAGGAGCAGACTCCCCGGATGGATGTGGATGCTCCTCGGCCTCCTCGTCGATGTCTACGGCATCCACAAAAATCTCTATGGTTTCACTGGCAGTGTTTGGTTGTGTTTCGGCTGAAACCGTCGTTGTTGGCTTGGTTGTTTCTGTTCCCCGATGCTCATCCGCCTGGTTCAAGTCCCCTTGGTGCTCCTCCTCCAGGCTGCTGGCATCGATCTTGTCGTAGATATTGGACAACTTCAACTGAGCCTCCTGGCAGGCCACTCGGAATGCGTTTATCGAGCAGAATTTGGTGAAGCAGTCGCTGCAGATCTTTTGGGGCAGCCCATCATTGGGAGAGATCTGAAAATATTGGTATTTAATTTTTAAGCTTCCCTTTATAGACGCTTACGAGTTAATAGAGTATTACGCTTTAGAGAGAATTCTAATCGGAAATATTTGTATCCATCAGTCATTTGCAAAACTCGATGAATGCTAATCCATGATTGTATTAAAAATTAAGCTCCAAAAGCGGAAAATAATTGGATTGGTCATTGCAAAAATTTTATTTTTTTGTTTCTATTGCAATACAATTAAAAATAACTTTATACAGTTCTCGTTGTTCCTCCATTAATGTAAGATGAGTAAACATTTAAACAACCAAATTATATATATTTTGGTATTTCTTTATATGGCTATAAAGGTGGTTACTCAACATGTATTTAAGAAAATGATCCCTAATATATTTACTTAAAGACTTCCTCAAAATTTGAATTCACCAACATCGTGTGTACATCTTTGGATAAAAAGTTTGACGATTTCGAGTATTGCTATTTAAAGTCGGTAAATCGAAGCTATAAATATGTATCGCTAAAGGTAAATTTATTCAAAACTCCAATTACGAAAGTAAAGGTATGTGGGATAAATATAAGAAACAAAAACCATTTATTCGTATACCTTTCTACTATTTAGTTTAGGGGTATACTCTACAAACGATTCAGCGGCTACAGGCCTTTCATGTTTAATGTCACCGTGGATGCCTGTAGATTCTTGAATGACACAAAGACGAACCCAATAGTTAGTTACTTTTTGGAGTTCTTTAAACCCTTCTCGAATATTAACCACTCCTGCCCCTTTGATGTGAGTATTTCTTAATTTGATTTATGATGCTTTAACAACTCATTTAACACTAGCACGATCTTATTGTGGATAAGGTTTCCATTGACTCTGTTAACTATCGAGTTACGAAGGTCCTACCTTTTCCAGAAGGCGCTTACTTACTGGAAACCCATTGGATTGCTTACGATATCAATCGGGCAGTGGTAAAGGTATATGACACTATATCCTAATTAATTTATAAAGTATTTACTAAAGTGATAGAAAAGAATTGTTGCTCCTTAATGAAACAAAGAGATATTTCAGTTTTCAGGAAAACTTTAGATTGACTATTTCCCAAAAGCTTTAGGCCTAACACAAGAATTGCCAACATGTGCATAATTTAACCCCAAGTGCCTTTCCCAGCTTTGTTTTGCAAAACCTATGCGCAATTTAATGCCAAAACGTTGCCCACACACAAACTTTCACTTGCGAAAAGTTGCAATTTTCAAAGAGAGGTAACCACAAAGCAACAATCACTCCACCACACAGTAAAAAAAAAAGTCCAATGATAAGATCATATCATATTATGATGGTATGATGCTTTTCATATTTTCAGAACATGACATATGATAAGATACTTCCCCAGCAATGTAGATATTTAAAGGAAATCTCGACTTAATTTTTTTTAGATCTTGTTATTTGTTATATGATAATTTCACAATAAATTGGATGTGGATATAAAGGACATCCCGACTTAATACCAGATTTATCCCAGCGCACTCACCTTCAGATTCCAGTTGACGAACTGCTGGCGGATTTGGACCATCTCGGGATGATGGAGGTCCAGGAAGTGGCCGTTGTTGCTGCCATTCTCGAAGTCGCACACAAACATGGAAATCGCACAGGTGCGACACGTTTCCATGGCGGCAGCCGCAAACAAAGTGGCCAGCGAAAATGCGGCAGTGCATCAGCAATGGCAATGTGCAACTGCAACGCCCAAATTCGGTTCGCCAGCCATATTCATGTGCTGTAATTATGCAACTTTATGGGTTACATACATGCCATGGCCGATAGTTTGCTTGTGCCGATTTGAAAACCGCAGCCAAATCCACGGAGCCACATCCCAAATCGCGGTGGCTCGAAAGCATCTGTGCGTGTTACGGTGGAGTTGATATTTTCACAACAAATATTTTTGCACGTTTTTCGGGATTGGATGGATGCTGGGTATGGGTGCTACTACAGACTACACGGGACTGGCGACTGGGGCACTCGGAAAAGTTTTGTCTGTATCCGGGTGACGACCTCTGCTCCTCGCTCCTTGTTCCTCCTTTTCTAACCCCTCCTGCTGCGCCTAGCCAGTCCGAGAATAATCCGTACTCGCCATCCGACGAAGTTCGAGCTTCCGCGTGAACTGACCTTCGTCGAGGAGCAATCTTTGGGAACTTGCAGCGCCGAGAGATTTAATGGTCCCACAAACGCACACACGCCCCACTGTTTGGCCCCCCGAACTGAACAGCTGGCTTTGTTTGTGTACTTGCGCAAAAGCCCCGTTCGCAAGAAAGTAATCAAAGCTCGCGTGCGAAAACTGCAAGCCCATGGTGACACAGTGGGGCGAATCGGGCTCCAATCACACGGTTTATCGAACTCCCCATGCCCCACTGTTATGTGGCCCACTGTTGACAAAAGCTCGCTCTCTCCCTACTCCTACTCTCTCGCTCGCAGAAGGTTTAAAATACGGTATACTGGGAGAACACTGTGAAAAACTAAAGCAGACTATAAATAAAGTTAATTGGATAGGAAAAAATAAATTGAAACAATTTTGAAAATACTGGTAAACGAAATAAAAAAAAAAACAGACTGCACTAGTGCTTTAAATAGAGGTTTCTGTATAAGCTACGCAAATGGAGTACTTTTTGTTAAGTTATAAATTTATTTTCTACTGTTCTCTGCAAGGATCGACAAATTGGCCCAAAGATCCGATTTTTCTGACGTACAGTTATAAATATATTAGGCATTCTGCAAACGTTCAACACTTTATACTAAATCTTAGAGCTATGGCTACCTATATATACACTTTCGGGTTCCTATATTATTTACTATCTATAAATTCGCCTAGTCCTAGTTCAACCACTAACTAGGCGGAAGGATGCCTAAAGCTCTCAAACATAACGTGGCGGCGTTTAGCTTAGCCTCCTTCTTGTTGTTGCATCCTCTTTCCGGCGTATAAGTCAGTCCGTTGATCTCGACCGAGAAAAGGAAGGAGCGGTTGTGCGCGGGGCCGATATCCTGGCGCAGCTTGTACTGCGGCGGCGTCCACTTGTTCTTTGAGGTCAGTTCGTTGAGCACACACACGGGATGTTTGTCCTGGGTGACCAGTGGCGCTCCCGCACCTGCACCTGCACCAGCTCCAGGAGGGCCACAACCTCCGACAGGGCCGGATGTGTTTTTGTTTCTTCGCTGGACGGCTGACTGACGCGATGGCGGCGGCTTTAGGTCCTCACGCGACACCAGCCCACGCTTGTCTAGCTTCACGTCCAGTAGAAGGGGCTGTAGGGATCCGGTTTTACATCTGCCCAGTCCTTCGCCCGGCTTCCAGCCCATCTTCTGCAGCAGTGCCATGCCCATGCCACCAGTTACCGGCTTGGTAGAGGTCAATTGGTCCTTCCGCACCCACAGCTGCGGACCGCTGCTCAGCTCATGGGCCTTCATCACTTGAGCACCTGTGCTCCCCGTGAACTGTCCGGGCAGGTGCTTTGAGTTTGCCCACGACGACATGTTGCGTTGCGCATGGTACATCATTTTCAGAGCTTCAGAGTCGGCCGGATTGTCCTGCATGGAAGCACACAAAATTAGCTTGAGGAATACGTTCCAATTAAAATCTCTTATGGTTTAGAGTTGACCATACCTGCAGGCGGCGAATGGCACTAAGACGCTGGGTGATTATGCTGGAGACGTCCATGGAGGGCGGGGTCACATCCGGAAAGATGGAAGCACTTGGAGTCGGCGTCGCTGGTGTAGTCGAGGGGATGGGCACCTCGGGTACAAATGGAGTAGCAGGCTTTGGAGGAACAGGCTCTTTTGATATGGGCGGCGGGACGGGTTGAGGAACATTGAGAGACGGAGTTGCAGCTGCTGGTGGGACTAGAGGGGCTCCCCCCACCGATTTAAAGGCGGGTTCCTGCTGCTCCTGCGAAGGCATCGACTTGGCAAATACGTTCTTTGGCGTTTCCTTGAACATATTGGTAGCTTGTTTGGCCGGCGGCAGGGAGGGCAGCGGCACCAGGGCATCCTTGCGTTCCACCGGCACCCAGACCTCATTATTGCGATGCGTCTGGCCCGAGGAAACTGGAAATTGCATGGTTATGGCTTTCGTTTGGTCGTCGAGACGGGATGGCGCGGGAACCAGTGCCGTCGAGTTCCGTATGTGCATCACAATTGGCTCCCGCTCTTTCAGCTGAAAGGGATGATGAAAGGCTTTTGTATTGCCATTCTTGTCCACATCGGAATCCTCTTCGGAACTCAGATCGGACAGTCCGTCGCCGTTCGATATCTTCTTGCAGAAGTCAGTCAGATCCTGAACAGTTCGCCCGCCGTAGCGCATCTTGACCAGCACCTTGTCTTTAATCTCTGGCGTCATGTTAGCCACACCGGGTAGGGTGCCTCGCTTAAACATGCTAATGGCGTTCTTTCGCGCAATCTCGAGCAAGCGGTTCTTATCGATTCCGAGATCACGAGAGCGAGATCTGGACCTTCGATTCCTTCTGGAGTTTGATTCACGGGTGTTCCGCTTGGGTGACCTTTTGGGTGACAGTTTTGGTTCTTCCTTGCCATCGTAGAAGCTGTTGTGCGGCCGTCGACGACCATTGGACGCCTTTTCGCGGAGGTAGGACTCCTCGTCCGACAGCGACACATCGGACAAGTCGTTTGCCTGTCGTGACTTGGTCCTGCTAGCTTCAGATCCTTTCGAGCGTTCCGCTTCCCGGTGGCCGTTGTAGAAGCTATTGTGGGAGCGGGCACGTTCCTTTTCACGCTCCCTTTCGCGTTCCTTCTCACGCTCCCTTTCGCGTTCCTTTTCACGCTCCTTTTCACGCTCCCTTTCACGCTCCCTTTCATGCCGCTCCCGCTTGACGGGATGAAACTCCGCTTGGCTAACAGTCTCTGCCGCGCTTCTTTTCCTGCTTTCAGACTTTTTTGTCTCCTTCTCAGGTGGAGCTGGTGGCGCCGTAGCCGTCTCCTTGCCTTTGTCCCTATCTTTGATTTTGCCATCTTTGTGTTTGTGCTTGTGCTTCTTGCGCTTATGCTTGTGCTTTCCCTCCCCCTCAGATCGCTGCACTCGCCATCCGACTTAGTTGACTTTTCTTTTTGGCCTTTTTTTCCTTCTTCTCCTTTTTGACCTTCTTTTTCTTCTTGAGCAGATTCTTGTCGTCTAGCAGTTCCTCCGGAGGAGCAGCGTTGAACACCCCAAAGAGCTCGGCGAGGATCTCGTTGGAGGTCTTTACCGGCTTAATGTCCTTCTTGTTTTCCGTCGAGGAAGAGCTGTCACTGCCATCCGTTTCGTCTCCCTGCTCCTTGCTGTTGCTTCTCCGCTGCTGGGCCAGTGCATCCGCCTTGATCTTGGCATTCAGGGCCCGGAGTTTGGCCTCCACCTCCGCGTCCGGTCGCTCGCTCTTTACCTTGATTGGCGGAACCTCGGTCCGAGCAAGTGGCTCCTGCTCTGGAGGATTTGACTGAGACTCCGCCAGTTGCGGCGGCTCCACGCTCGCCGCTTTCTCCGTGTTCTCCGTCATTGCACTCTCGCCGGGCGTGGCTCGCCCTAGTGTCCTTGCATGCTGCTGAAATAGCGCTAAAAATCGGTAAAACCCTTGCTTTTGGGTTTTAATGTTATTTTTTTGCACGCCTGGAGGAAGGGTTTCAATAATAGTGATGGGCCCTCCGATAGTATCAAGAGTTCGCAATAGCCTAAGATATCGATAGTTTCTTAGAGATGACTCAGCTTTAGAAAAGCTAAACAAAATATTACGGGTATTCCCAATGCTAAAAGTTGAACTTTTATCAGCTGTTTGTAAAATTTCAAAAATAAACTGTCAGACTTTAAGAAAAGTATTTCTAGACGCTATAAATATTGGGGTTTCCTCATTATTTCATGCAAATTCATGTCTACAACGATTTTGTTTATATCAGGACCTATATACTTCAAAATCAAATTCAACTAATAATTATACATTAGCATTCGGCACACAGTACAGTGGTAATTTCATTTTATGCCCGTTAAATCGGAAGCTGCCACCGCTGTTTTTATTAGACAGACAAAATTCAACAGAAAGAAGTTTTCATCGAGGGAACCATTGCTTTCACGTCAGCTTGAATATCCAAAGTTCACAAACGGTTTTCTAATTTCATACAAATATATTTTTTAAAAATCGTATTTTTCAGTGACCTCCAAAAAAGGTAGACCGCAGAAAGGTCAGCTCTGACGATAGTCGCGTAATCGACCCTGCCTAGAAGTGGGCAGTCCCGATTTCCGCAGCGCAGCCAACTTCACGCACGTCGCTGTCACGAATTGCAATTTTTATAAAAAAAGGAAAGAAATTGATCACTTTTTAAGGGCGTAGAAAGTGTCAGTGTCGTGGGAGAAACGCGATTTTCGAGCTGCTAACGTAAGTACCCGACCCAGGGGATCTACAAGAAGACGAATTTCGCCAATGGCGATGCTAATTTCCGTGTATTTTTTCGCCATTTCTTTTTTCATCGCCTGCGCCATCGTGCTGTGCTGCAACTGTGTTGGTCGATTGTACGTTATTTTTTCTTTCGTGCGCATTGGTGTGCGTGCGATTAAATTTTCCCCTTGGCTGCTGCTGGTGTGCAATTGAAACAAATTGTTAATTGTCCAACGAAATTCCCAGGAGGCGTACGTCGCCATCTCCGCACATAATTGATTTTAGCATACGCATTTTTAACCAGCCAAACGCAGTTGCGGCCCCTCGTCGAAGCGGCTAAGAGAAGAATACGAGAAACGGACAGAAAATGACGTCTTTGGAGCAGAATCGTTTACAAAACTTCAAAAACAAAGGCAAAGACCAGGATGTAAGTTATCCAAAGAAACGGGCCTTAAATAAGAGTTATTTTCTGTTTTTTATTTGTAACATCCCACTGGGATTTTATCTTTACTGATTGTTGTTTCTCTGTGAACCTAGAGCACAAACTCCGTAATCAAGTTGGCCTTGTAAAATAAGTATTAAAAATAACTCTTGTTTATATATCAGTTCATAAGCAATGTACAAGAAAAAGAGTAACAAAATGAATGTCCGATTTCTCAGGAAATGCGTCGTCGCCGAAACGAAGTCACCGTGGAGCTGCGGAAGAACAAGCGCGAGGAGACCATCCTTAAGCGGACGTAATGTTCCCAATCTGGACTCGAACACAGACGAGGACGAGCAGGTGCCCACGTCCATCAATCTGAAGAAGCTGGCCCAGGCAGCCGCCGATGCCACCAAGCCGGAACAGCAGCTGGCCGCCGTCCAGGCTGCCCGCAAGCTGCTCTCTTCGGACAAGAATCCACCCATCAACGATCTGATCGCAAGCGACATTCTGCCCATCCTGGTGGAGTGCCTCAAACAACACAATCACACAATGCTCCAGTTCGAGGCCGCCTGGGCCCTGACCAACATTGCCTCCGGCACCTCAGACCAGACCAACCAGGTGGGTTTAGTCTCTGCTTTCAGCCTTTTCTTTGCCTTAACATAATGATATTGTCTGCAGGTTGTTGCCGCCGGTGCCGTGCCGCTCTTCCTTCAACTTCTCAACTCGCCCGCTCCCAACGTCTGCGAACAAGCC